AGTTCTAGAACCCCATCTTTTACCCTATCTTGACACCCTGGCAGATCCAACTTTCCAACAAGATAATGCCCGACCACATGTTGCAAGAGTCACAATAGACTTCTTTCAACATAATCATGTCACATTGTTACCATGGCCACCAAGATCTCCCGACTTATCCCCAATTGAGCACGTGTGGGATATGATGGGTAGGAGATTGCTCAATTTGCAACGTCCTCCTCAGACTCTAGAAGCACTTCGAGAGGAGTTGGTGGTTGCCTGGAATGAGATACCACAGGAGGACATTGACCACCTGATCAGAAGCATGCCTAGGCGCGTTGGAGAATACGTAGCACATCAGGGTGCATCCACACATTATTAAAGGTCAATGGGCTTTAAAGCAGTGCAATCATTTTGAAATTTTTATCATTTACTTATTATGCTTCCTTAAGTACTTATATAAAATTTTATTAAAATAAGACCATTTAAACTGGGTGTTCGGATTTATATGTCACATAGTATATTTCATTCCATGGTGTAATACGCCTTACTGATCTGGTGATGCGCGGCACAGTCACATCGTGTCTTTGGCCTTTAGAGGATAACTCAGGGATTGTGTTTTAGGCAGGCTTTTAGAGACCTAGGGATTTTAACACATGAAGGACGAACTTGCTATGTTCAGAATGCACTGTGATATCCATGAACACAACAAGGTGTCAGAAGTCTCCAGGATACTAGGTATACAATTTTTTAATTATCTGCCAAAAATCACCAAAGATATACCTGTTAATAAGTTTAAAGGAGATGTGAAAATCATATTAATATCAGGCGCTTTCTATGGTACGGATGAATTTCTCTGGCAGACATTTTGAAAATTTTATTTTGTTGTTCGATGTCTACTCGATCTCTACTGTTTTTTTTTTCATTTTAAGTCAGTTTTGGCTTTTATGTCTTTGACATGTGCAAATACTTAATATTTCTATTGGCACCAATACATTTTGGCTTTGAAGGAGATTTGTGGCACAGTGATTACATGGCAGGATGGTATTTTTAGAATTATGTAGTGTAGTTTTAAATAGAAGCCTTACGTTAGAAAGATATATGCTCGAGATTTCCTCATTTTTGTTGAAGGTAGGCAACGTCAGGCCCGATGCTGCTCAAATTTCAAAAAAGTATCTATTAAGATCGCTGCTATATCACGGTCGTCACGATCATCGAAGCTCCTGGTTCATGTCGTTCGGGAACTACTTAAAATTTCGGAAAAAGGAAACGTAATTTTTTATCATTACGTCTGACTATAGGTTTTCTTTGCAAAAACGAGGGAAACCTAGTTAGGTGGCATTTCGATTTATGTTGCATTTTGGATATTTTTTGGATGTGCGTAATTGTATTGGAAAGATAGAAGCTCAGGCTGCACATCGCATCTGTAATTCTTTAGTTTACACAAGCAGTACGTCTTGCGTTCAGATTCCCAATTACCCGGCCGAGTAATTTAATTTTCTACGGAGCCGTAAAATGGGCCGAGTAGGTCGAGCATGGGAAAAAACCCGGGTACTCAAACTCAATGCATCCTTAATTTCAAGGCCTACAGTGACAGCTTATTACATCTGTTATTCTCATCTTTTTCAATGATCACTAGAACTGTTGAAATTTTCAGAATAAGTTAGACATCAACGTTATCTGTGAAGCTGAAGAACACAAGACTTTTTGAACGTCATCTTTTATTGAAGCAGCACCAAATCTAGGACGTGCCTCTCATCAATAGTGATTTTCCTGTCTAATTCCGCTTATTTTTAACCCTCTGAAAACACCCTTTATGTTACTCAAGCAAATATCAGTTGTAACAGATGGAGGTAATCCACAGTAGCAGGAAAGAGGAGCAGAAAGGAAAAGCACCGCGGCGGCTTCGCCGCGCGTCATGCTGCGCGCCGCCTTAATGAGACGACGCCGACGCTCGGCAGAAGAGGGCGGCACAGCGCGGAGAGCGTCGGTTGCCATGGTGACAACGCCGACCGGGCCAAATGCTCATTAGGGAATTCCGAGAGGCGTCGTTTGAAACGTGTCATAAAAAGCGCCGTGCCAGCTACCGGCGTCTATCGTCGCAGTGACGTGCCGCTGAGTGTCTACAATGAAATGGCTTGCAAAAGCATCTTGTTATTCATATATACAGGGTGACTTCGAAGTTGAGTCATTTATTTTAACAGTGAGTAGATCTGATCAAAAGAAATGTTTTTTTCCTTTACCATTTTTCTGGTAAAATTAAAGTAACAAAGTTATAGCCCTTTGGAAGTTTGAGTACCGCCCTGTCTCAATAATAATATTAGGTACTCGTGTTTGGCGACAACGGATATAATCCGCCGTATCGGTTCATCGCATCGGAAACAAAAAAGCGAAAGAATTTGGAACGATGTTTTTACAAGTATCTCAGTCATTTGTATACAGTTAGTGTCAGTGAAAGTGGTATCTGTTGCGTGGCTCAAACGAAATAAAAAATGGCACATGTTTATGCGGATCGGTTTCCCAATCGAGTGCAACCAACCCCTAGTGCCTTTGTTAATGTAGTACAACGGGCTCGTGAATCAGGTGACTTAAGACCTCACAGGGGACCTCACGATCAAATACAGGTCCGCACTGAAATACTTGTCGGGAGGATACTTTATAAAACAAGGTAAAAAAATTTTTTTAATTTTTTTTTTATTCTTACACACATATTTTGGTTTATCTTCCTTCTACAATCATTATCTGAAAATTAATGACTCAACTTCAAAGTCACCCTGTATAGATATATATATATATATATATATATATATATATATATATATATATATATATTTAAGGGTGTGAATTTACATGAAAAATTAATGTTAGTTTGCTTTATAAATTATGGTCCAAAAATGTTTCCTTACAAAAAGTTGGGGTGTTGAAGTTATTATATAACAAGATTGTAAAAACTAAATAATGAAAAAGATGTCACAGCGAAGAGATTTGAATAACAGAGACTTGTCAGATGTCAAAAGCCAATGACACATTCCAGAGCAACTAGATATTTATTGCTAAATTGCATTCTTCAAGTACTACATTAATTTTCTGGGACAATAGAACGGTTTGTTTTAAATTGAACGGGTTATTCAAATATAGTATTTATTTGGCAAAAAAAACATTGGCGTACCATTTTTTTCTTAAAAAATATCGAAGTCAGCACCCGTACGTACGCCACTGTTAAAGCTAAAAATTATTTTTCCATTGAAAAATATGCAACTTTATTAAATTTCACTACGTACTATTAATTATTTTCCATTTTTTTCCTAAAACTTCAACACCCCGAGTTTTTGTAAGGAAACATCTTTGGGCCATAATTTATAAAGCAAGCTAATATTAATATTTCATGTAGATTCACACCCTTAAATATTCGCAAATCATTAAGGAACACCCTGTATATATATATATATATATATATATGAGCAGTAGTCATTGCCAAAGCCAATGACCAGTTGGGCACAAAATACCATTAATCGTTAATTGGGAAATTGGCAAATTTGTAAGCTCAAGTTGACCATTTTGACGATAAAATCAAGCTTTCGGCATTCTCTATGGAGCCTTCATCAGGATTCTGAAAACACAATTGTGGCAAAGAATACAGGACCGATTTAAATTGTCAAACAACTTACTCGTCGTTGAGGTTGCAGCCACAAGGTGTTTTAAAACGAACGCAGAGAAGATAGAATTTGTTATACAGGGTGACTTCGAAGTTGAGTCATTTATTTTAACAGTGAGTAGATCTGACCAAAAGAAATGTTTTTTCCTTTAACATTTTTCTGGTAAAGTAACAAAGTTATAGCCCTTTAGAAGTTTGAGTACCGCCCTGTCTCAATAATAATATTATGTGCTCGTGTTTGGCAACAACGGATATAATCCGCCTTATCCGTTCATCGCATCGGAAACAAAAAAGCGAAAGAATTTGAAACGATGTTTTTACTACAATGTACAATTTTATTCAGTTGTATGCAATCGACGTGTCAGTCGGTAACGCGTGAGTGAATAGTGGTGTTCGTTGCGTGGCTCAAACGAAATAAAAAATGGCACATGTTTACGAAAATGCTAAATGCAGTACAAAGGGCTCGTGAATCAGGTGACTTAAGAGCTCACAGGGGAGGGCATGCCGGTGCTCCAAGACTGCACGATCAAATACAGGTCCGCATTGAAATACTTGTCGGGAGAATACTTTAAAAAACAAGGTAACATTTTTTTTATTTTTTTTTATTTTTACACACATATTTTTTTTTATCTTCCTTCTACAATCATTATCTGAAAATTAATGACTCAACTTCAAAGTCACCCTGTAGATATAAAAACAAAAGGACGGAGACATTGGGCTTGTTGATAACGACAGATACTTTCGTTACATGTTAAAAATATCAATACACCATGTAACATTCCTCAGGTGTTCCTGAGGAGACTCTTCATCATCAAGGGTAAAGTAACGGCTGAGACAATAATACCACGATTAAGTTGTGAGACACTGTATTCACTGAACTACTGACTATATAAACGTATTGGAAATAGGGAATCTTAATTCCAGTACATAGAATTAATTAAACCTAAAAATATGCAGCCGATTTTGGCGCGCGCGACCCGCTAACGCTCTTGCTCGCACTCCGCTCATCAGTCCGCCCTCTTTCAACTTCTTGTCCTGCGGGCAACGTCGACCGCGCACTGTTGCCGTTACCACCTATTTATCCACAACTCCACCACTAACTTAAACCTAGCCTGTCACATCACCCCCCTTTCGAATGGACAATTTTCCAAAAAGGTACATTCGAAACTTATAGTCTAACAGGCGACACCTTATAGGGTTTCAAGTTACAACCATTATAGGTACCCAGGTTCACACCAGTGATGTCCTCAATGAGTTCGTAGGAATTATGACCCTTCACATTTACAACAGTAGCGGGCCCCCTAAATAACAAAAATAATTTTTTTATTTCTGCACAATCTACAGAAGATTGCTGATGAGTTCTTACGAGAACTTTATCCCTTATATTAAATTCATGCAGCTTATGCCGATCATCATGACGCTGCTGACGGTTCTCTGCTTTTGATAACAGATTCTTATGGGCTAATTCTACTATCAACTCTCGAGAGGGTTCCGCCCAATTTGAAGGAGCAAACGAGATCTTGGTACATATAGCGTCTTTAGGTTCAACAACAAAATGCAGGTAAGTAGACGAAAACTTTGTTCCACCATGAATGACGCGATTTAACCAAGCCTGGATATCCCCCAAAATGTAAGCCCATTTAGTATGTTTCTGATGACATAAAGTACGAATCAATCTCCCTATCTCACGGTTAACTCTTTCGGTGGGATTTTCCTGAGGAAAATATACTGATGTATGTGACCATTAATCTCCTGATCAGCCAAATACTGTTCCCATTTTGGACTACTAAACTGACTGCCATTGTCAGTTAGGATAACGTTCGGCTTCCCTATCCGGAAAAAATAATCATCTAACAACTTGCGCATAACGGCTCTTGAAGCGGGTAACGGTCCTACATAATCTAATGACATTACCTGGTTTATGTTGGTAAGTACAATACTTTTCATGGCTCCATGTAAATTTGGTGAAATTTATGCTTTCTGGCATATATCATACACATATTGTGCGATCTCTTGCAATATTCTATTTTGAAATTATATTCCTGCAAGAACATAACCCATCGGCTTAACCGCGCTGATAGCAAGCGGCAGGTCTGAATGAATGAGAGGGCCTTATGATCTGTTAAAATAACCAACTCGGTACCCAGAATAATACTTCGCCATTTCCTTAAAGCAAACACAATTGCCCCACACTCTTTTTCTGTAACTGCACATTTCAGTTCTGCCCCTCGCAATACCCGACTCGCAAATGCAATCACATTTCTTTTTCCGTTAACGTCATCCCTCTGGAATAATGATGCTCCAAAGGCATATCCAGATGAATCGGTCTGGACATAGAATGTCTTAGTGAATACCGGATGGAATAACATCGAAACCTCCAGAAATTTGCGCTCAATGCCCTGAAAGACAGCCGCTTCAAGACTGCCCCACCTCCATCCTTGGTTCTTTCCCGGCAACCCGAGCAACGGTGCTATAGTTTCTGAGTAACCCTCATAAAACCGAGATTTAGAAATGCCCTCAAAGCTTTGATATTTCTTGGCGCGGGAAATTCCGCTATGGCTCTCACCCGATCAGCATCTACCATGCATCCCTCTGACGTTAAAATATGACCCAGAAACTGAATTTCCTTTGCTGCAAACCTACACTTATCGAAAATAGTATTCAAATGTTTCAGATGATTTTCTGGATTATTTGAAAATATCAAAATATCATCAACACACGCTATCATATATTCATCTCCTTTATTCCTCCTAATGAAACTAGCCACTGATGTCGATAATCCAAACGGAAGTACGCAAAAAACATACGTTTGTCCCTCAAATAAAAAACCTGTATATTTGCGCGATTCTTGCTCTATCGGAATTTGCCAATATGAGGCCGTCATATCTAGCGTTGAAAATATCTGACCTTTTTGAAATTCGTAAATCAACTCACTCGGATTTGGCGGCATGACATGGTCTTTACGCATGCGTGAGTTGATAAACCTTGCATCTAAACAAACCCGGATTGAACCATCGTGTTTTTTAACAACAACCAACGGGCTGATATATTCCGTCTGACATGGAGTGATAACTCCCTAGTCCATCAGTTCTTTACTCTGTCGCCTAACCTCATCCCTGTACACTCGCGGACCGGATAACCCTTTTGCATAAACGGCGTTTCATCATGCATCTCAATTTTGTGCGAATAACAACTGATCAATCCCGGTTGGTCAGAGAATATTGTCTGATATTCTAATAACAGCTTATACAATAACTCGACATTATCTGGGTCCAGCTCCTCTGCTTTATCAACTACTTCCCTAAAATCTTTCTCTGAATAGTTTTCTATCATTTTCTGACGGTGACCCCCCACATCTATAACATCATCATTTTCAGCATTAATCTCGCTGACTGTTAATCCAATATCCCCTGTACTATCACACCTGAACGTATACCCAAAATTGACATCATCAATTTGACCATTCAACTTACTATCACCGAAATCGATCTTAATTCCATTATCACTTAACCAGTCGCAGCCCAAGATAATGTTCCTGATGAGCCCCGGTATGACCAAAAAGCTATATTCAAATGTGTGACCCCCCAACTCCAAGGGTAGGTACACCTGCTCCCTGACTATTGTCGATTTGGCGCATATAGCCCCCATCAAAGTAACGCACTTGCATGGAAATTTTGGGATATTCGCTTTTCCTTTCATTATTTCCACCAAAAACGTTTGGCTAACACCCGTAACCTGACTACCACAGTCAGCTAAACGTTGTCGGAATACCTTCTACTTTTGCGGTTACAACCGGCAACACCGCAACCTGTTTCACCACTGGCTCGATTTCCGTTAAGATTTCGTCTATATCCCTATTAAAAATTGTCGAAACTTCAGGACGATCCTCATTTTCCGTGTTTCTAACGTTTCTACTCCTTTCCTCATTCCTGTTTCGCCAACTGGAATTTTCATGTCTACCCCCGTCGCGATTCCATTGACCCCGAGCAGGATTCTCTCCCCGATTTTCTCTTACAAGATTTCTACTTCTATTTCTAGGTTCGGCCATTTCCATGTCTAGCTTATCTATACGCCTTAAATAATCCTCTATATCCTCGACCGATTGATATCCCAAATTTATCAGAGGTTTCGACGAATATTGCGATTCTCGGATTATTTTCAAGAAATAATCAGCTCGTGATCCCCCCTCGTATACTCCGTACCTAATATGACTAAACATCTCACTCTCCTTGTCAGATGACCAACATCTTTTTATAAATTGATCCTTGAAATTGGGATAAGAGCAAAACCCTTTTATTTCTGCCCAATCCAAAGCTAAACCTTTTAAGCAGTTTAAGGCAAAAATTTTCTGATAAAAACAACGGGGTGCAACGGCCCGTTTGGAGCAAACTGTAAACTTGAACCCCCTAAATCTTTCCACATTGTGATATACACCCTAGGCGCGATGCCACTGGTAGGAATCTGAGTATCCTTAATTGTTGCCTGTGCATAAGACGGTCCAGGCCCAGGCGCCGTAATATCTATTTTTTTTAGATAAATCGTTCAGTTTTTGATCTAATATCATCATATTGCTACTCAAATTTGATGACAGTGACTGTACCGTCGAGTCCATAACCTTACTTAAATTAAAATTCAAATTATCAAAGGATTTAGCTAAGCAGTCCTGTATTTTATCGATAGGATCCTCTACATGAGTTCCTTCTAATTCCTTAGCCATACTGGAATGTTGGCCCTTGTTGACCTTTTTACGCATTTTGACTAACTATAGTTCAAGAAAACTACACAAAATACATCAAAGCCTAAGCCTATCTATAACTACAAGCTACAAAGTAACAATTATTACTGAAGCCAAAAACCACACAGCTAGAGCTCAAATCAATACTAAGTCAAATTCACTTTAGTGTCTTTGGGCAACTGGCACAAAAAACTGGATACAAACTGGATAGTAGATAAACAGGAAGGCCTCTGCCTCTCAGTACAATCAGCAACTCAAAATAAATGGAATGGGCTCACCATATAACGTGGTATCTTAAATACCCTTCCTCCTCCGTCCTGCACTACCACTGGGTTGTCTCAAAACTTGCTGAACACGATCCCGTGCCTCGTATGAAGAGATACATGCACATGGTTGGATAGCTCAAAGCAACTGATATTAGTGTTTAATTTATTTTTCCTTTACACTGGGCCGCTAATATGGTCTCGCCGTGCCTCTAGTTGGGCGCCTTTGTAACATTCCTCAGGTGTTCCTGGGGAGACTCTTCATCATCAAGGGTAAGGTAACGGCTGAGACAATAATACCACGATTAAGTTGTGAGACACTGTATTCACTGAACCATTGACTGTATAAACGTATTGGAAATAGGGAATCTTAATTCCAATATATACAATTAATTAAACTTAAAAATATCTAGCCGTCTTCTGGCGCGCGCCAGCCGCTAACCCTCTTGCTCGCACTCCGTTCGTCAGTCCCCCCTCTTTCACCTTCTTGTCCTGCGGGCAACGTCTACCGCGCACTGTTGCCGCTACCACCTATTTATCCACAACTCCACCACTAACTTAAACCTAGCCTGTCACAACCCGAACATATTAAAAACTATCAAACATGAGAAGACATTTTAGGGAAACAATCGGAATGCAGTCTCTAACCTTCTACTTCCGCTACACGTGGAGAGGGGGATGGAACGGAAAGATAATGCGTCAACAGATGACAAGTGATTGATGCGACGGAACGTGGAACTGTAAACCTCATTGTCCAATTTGGGTATGAAGTATACGACGGAAGCTCGGTAAACCTCCACCCAAATTGCTAAAATGCTGAATTAATTTGTTTCGGAAAAAATTTGTAGTTCATATGAGTGTACTAATGTGAGATAGTGATACACACTTGAAAATATGGGTTATGTGAGTTTACATCAAAGATTGTGAGTTAGAAATTTCAATTACTAGGATAGCAATTGGAAATGTATTCTAATTTTGGGACGATGTTGGTTCGATTTGGATATGTAGCCTTTCTAGCTTTTCGCAATTCAACAGGTAGGACTAAATGACACTAAGCTGCTTAACATCAGCATTTTTATTCATGCAATGATCTGTCTTGAAAATGTGGGACATTTCTAAAAATAAACGTTTTGAGAGTCCTTTTCCTTGACAAGAACCTCAATACTGCCATAATTCATAGAGTGACCTGTTGTTAATATGAGATGCCAACGCACATCTCTCTGGATGTAATCTGGCGTCACTTTTGTATGAAGTTATCCTGCCTTTCAGTGGCATCGAAGTTTGGCCTATATAAACTAAATTACAGTTGTTGCAATTAATACGATACACAGTGTTGGTTGAATCAAGCAACTGACCCTTATCCTTGATTTTGGGCAACAAACTGTTGACTGTGAGAACTGAGTTACAAGCAAAACGACAATTAAAGGAATTATACAGCCTGACCAATTTTGGTGTTAGTTCATTGATGTTTGGCAAGACACCTTAATTAACTCTGGAAATAGGCGCAACCACTGTAGTGCTGTTATTCTCATGGTTGAAGAATTCATGGGCGTCTGGTTAGACCGAACAGTGTTGTCATTTTCACTATTGTTATTCGTCATTGTCAAAATATTAGGAGGAGAGCTGAACAAGATTCTGTTAACCAAATACTTCGGATAGCCATTGTTGACGAATAAGACTGAAAGCTTCATTAAATTGGAAGACCTGAAGTTCAGGAACCTTCCGGAAGAAATTGGTTTCCTGTACCAGTCTGCCAGTGATATATTGTCATTGGTGCGAACCAATCTTGAATCCAAAAAGGGGAACAGATTGATTGTCATCTTCTTTTTCGATGGTGAACTGGATGTAGGGATCATAACCGTTAAAAACTTCAACAATATCATCCAGCCTCTCATGAGGAAGACAAACGATAATATCGTCCACATACTTTTTTATGAAAACTAGATTGTATGGCAATACTTGAATAACAACATCAAGCAGGTTATCCATTACATATTCTGCCAAAATTGGACATAACACAGGGCCCATGGGGTAACCATGTGTTTGTGAAAATAGTTTGTTATCAAAGGTAAAATAATTGTTCTGGCAAAGGTACTCTACAACATTGACGAAAGAATCCGGAGTTTGATTGCTGTGTTGGCAAATTTGATCCCAATATTTGTTGATGGATGTGATGCAAGCTTCTAAATACACATTACTGAACAGTGAAACTACATCTAGACTCGCAATAACACGATCCTATGAAACCTATTAAATTGTTGACAAACATCAAAAGAGTCTTTTATAAAGTATTCTCCTTTGATGTGAGCTGACTTTAGAGTATCTGCAATTAATGAAGATAGCGCTAGTGTGGCTGATACGACAGAAGCCACAATAGGTCTTACTGACAGCACAGGTTTGTGCATTTTGGGAAGAGCATAAAATTTAGGAGAGACAGAATTATAAGTGATTAAGGACTTCTTTTGGTCCTGGTTGATTTGACCAATGCTGAGTAGCATGTTAACAATGTCATTGCAGTCTTTCTCTACTTCATATGTAGGGTTTTTATTGATAACCTTGTAAGAGGGATCATTATCAATCAAATTATTACATAGGTCAAAATATTGTTGTCTTAACATAATTACGGTAACATTTCCTTAGTCTGATTTTGTAACAATTAACTCGGGATGATCCTTAATAAATTTCCTTGTTTTATATAACAGGTTGTGGTAGAAAGAGTGTTTTTTTGTTGATGCTACTGTTATGACAGTAATTTGTGATAATATTGGTGGAACTAGTTATCGCAATGTTTCTTTCTGTGTCATCGCTAATGGAAGAAGATATAGAATCAGCATCAGCCAGAATATGTCTGATTGCAATGTCACTGTTCACTCATCCCTTGAACTTTTGAAAACTGAAAGCATTTCACTCACGTCCCTCTTAATTTTCAATAATAATAATATATAGCGTTGAACCGTTTGTCAACAGTGACATTGCAATCAGACATATTCTGGCTGATGTTGATTCTATATCGTCTGCCATATATATATAACAAAAAATCTATATATATATATATTTTTTTTTTTTTTTTTTTTTTTGAGACGTGGTCATTGTCGTCTAGACCAGTTAGGTGAAAAATTAAAGCTTCTGCTTTTTGTTGGGTACTTCGACAAGATTTAAGCAAAGAGGACTCTTTATACTTTTTTTATTTCTCTCTAGCTTTCAATGGACTTTGCCATCATCATCAGGAGCTGCAATTACAATGATAACAGTAGCAACAAAGGTGTAAAATGAATTTAAATTGACTCAACTTACAGTAGTATGTGAGGATGTTGCTAATTGTTGTTTACGTATAGGATGAGGGAAACGTCCAGTAACATGGTGAGAGCTGAATAGATTGCACAATAGTCAAAATTTATACAAAACATGACAAGAACAAGTTAAAAACAGATTAAAAATTATTTAAAAAATTAGAGCATTACATCGTGAAACCACCTGATGATTGCACAAATTAGTGGTCATGGAATGATGAATTGATGAGTGACATGAAACCCTTTGACAGAAGGCCGAAGGATGTTAATGTCAGTATTGAAAGATGGAACGAATTGTGGGCGTGTGCCAAAACGTTGCCAAATCACTTCAGATGATGAGATTTTTAGAATTTTATGTTAGAATTTGTTAAACCGACCAGAGGCAGTTGAATAAACTATATTATTATTAATGGGAATTTAAATTAACAATTATTAATAAATCGTGAGGAGAGAATTATTATATTTTGAGTGGAATGAATTTTACTGGTGGAAACGGCCAAAACACAGATTCTAATTATGGTTGTGAAGAGTTGAAATTTGGGGAGATATGTAAGTTCTCCAATTTTTCGCAGTTTAGCAAATATGAGTAAATGACACTCAGTTGTTTAACATCTGTCTTTTTGTTGATACAGTTGTTATTCATGAAAATGTGGGACATTTCCAGGAATAAACGTTTGGAAAGGTGTTTTTCTTTATCAAGAACTTTGATACTTGTGTAATTCATAGAATGCCCTGTTGTATTAACATGAGATGCTAGAGCGCATCTTTCAGGATGAAGCCTAGCATCACTTTTGTGTGATGTAATCCTTCCTTTAAGAGATCTGGAGGTCTGACCTATGTATATTTGGTTGCAGTTGTTGCAATTGATGGAGTAGACTGTGTTGGTTAAGCCAAGCAGCGGGACTTTGTCTTTCATTTTTGAAAAAATGCAGTTTATAGTGAGGACGGATTTGCAAGCAATTCGAAAGTTCAAAGGACTGCACAATCTGATCAGCTTAGGGGTCAGTTCCTTGATGTAGGGCAGGACAGCAAAACCAGGTCTGGAGTCCGGGTTGGTGCTAGTACTGTTAGGATTGATGTTATTATTGGGAATTACATCAGTTCCGTTATTAGGGGTTGTGCGACACCAAAAAAAACCTTCCTCAACACTCAACAAAATTGGATAAAAATCTCAGTAACGTTGACATCCCTCATGACATATTAAAATTTCTTTCCTTGGGTCCTAAGTTCAGTGTAGAGCCGATTGTTAACAATGACATTCCAATCAGATCAATCCTAGCGGATGTAGACACAATAGCATCCTCCATAAGTGATGACACTGAAAGAAACATTTTCACAACTCGTTCCACTAACCTCATCACTAACTACTATCATAATAACAATCTTAATAAAAACATTCCTTTTATCACAACCTTCTAAACATAACTAGAACATTTCTAAAACAACATCCTGAACTTATGGTTACAAGATCTGACAAAGGCAATGTTACAGTGATAATGCTTAAACAACACTATTTAGATCTTTGCAACAATCTCATCAATGATGACCCATCATATCATGAAATT